TTAATAACAGGTGAGCGATGCAGGCCCATTGGGCCTCTTGTTATAAGTTGTCGGTTGTACAACTTTTGTGTTGTTTGTATTGAATTATTTAGAAAGTTAAGAGTTTATTATATTATTACAAAACCATAGATTGTCCGGATGGTAAGTTATTTTATTGCTGAACATTGAGCACTGATCCATGTTTTACACTTAAATTTGTTCAAAGATACTGTCATGAATCCTGGATTTTGTATTTGGTACTGTGCTAATTATCGCCATATTCTTAAATGTTGTAGATTTCTTTTATCAGGAATATTGTAAAATTTCCGACTCGCAAAGATCCTTGAAGATATATACTACCAATATTTTCATATAAAACCAATGTCTGCTAATACAAGGTATTTATCTAATAAAAACACTTTTACAATTTAGTGTTTTTTTTCCTGTTTTTGAGTTTATAAATGCACCTTAACTTGGCACCAATGTCTTGCTTTTACTGATACTATACTTGTTGATAAATCACAAAAGTGATCATGTTTAAGCAATGTTGAAATATATGGGTAGATATGATGGGAGAATCGGAGAAACGAAGAAATCGAATTCAGTTTTGCTGTAGATTATCTAAAATGGTGGAACTATCTCCAGTTTAATGAAACAAAGACATGAACACTTTTATCATGGCTTATGGATTTCTGTCCCAATGCAGGCAAAGGGACCAGGATACTTCTGTCGACTACGTAGCTCCGCGGGATGGAGCAACATTAGAGTGATCGGACGCCCATGTTTTGAATCCTGGTCACCGGCACTGCATTTATACTCTCAAACGTTAATATCTTTTTCTGGTCTATTACATCTTCCATTTTTCGTGAAAGTCGAGCAAGTTATGACTCTCTTTCCCAAGTTGATTTATCGAAGCTGTACTCGTAGCTGAACAAAAATCGATGCATATATCCTTTAGTTCCGATCTTCAGTGTTTAATAAAAAATAAACATGTTCCTAGCTGTTAAATAGTCAACACAAAGTTTACCCCACTCAAAACATTCCCCTCCCCGGATAGTGTTTCATCTGCCTGTTAACAAATAACGAGCGATTTCTTATGAATTTCTGAAAAAGCAGCTGGTCATCCTATGTAATTTGTATTTTCCAAAATACAATGAGTCATATTGATTAATGTGAGTATTTGACTTGTAATTTACTTGGTAAACAAAAATAAAATACTATAAGTATTGGAGTACAAAGTTAAGCAAAATTCATCCCTGGAGATAAACATTTTCTCAACTTTACAGCAATTAATGTTTCAATGTTAAAAATGCGATTCAAGTGTTTATTGATGTTTTCGTCAGTTAAATACTGTACTACAAATCTAAAATAACAATTTTAGATAGAAGCAAAGACGAGATTGTTCATAAATCAGGCCAGCAGAAGTGCCAAAGGGTCAAACAGGCTCTCCAAACACTTTACCTTTATGATCGATACTTCATGACTACCAACATGTCATATAAGATATACAATTATATTACCTAGAGGGACACACAGGCCCAAACAGGCCTATGCTTCTTTAAACATCAATGGAAGTATCCGTTAAACTGCTTAAAATATTTGACAGTCATGACTTTAGTATGACTTTGCGCATTGTAACTTAAGCCCCTCCTGATAAGAAATTACATATACAATTTACATGATGATATACAATGTAATGCGATAAATATTCAATATCTCGTCTTTTTCATATGCTGCATATCATATCTAGTTCATTATTATGATCCTACATAGATTAAAAAGGGTGTGAATCAACCCCATACATACTTAAATTATCACACGATACGTATGGAGGCATATTTATCGCTGCATATGAGGGTGAATACTGAGGTAAAGATTACAATCAGGTTAACAAATTACTGCCATCGGCAATATTATGACACTAAATTTAAGTCAGTGACCTAATTAGGTAAAACAACAGTTCTAAGCAAATTTTGAACTCGATGACAATTTTTGATAATGTAGGTCAAACTTTCAGAAATAGGTCAAATTACCCAGTCAAACAACAGTTCTTAGTTAATTTCTGAACCCAATGACAATTTTAAATCATATAGTTCAATTTTTAAAAGTAGGTCACAGTGACCTAATTAGATGAAACAACAGTTCTGATTTCAGGTTTGAACCCGATGGCAATATTAACAATGTAGGTCATTTTTTCAAAAGTAAGTCCAATTTACCTTATTAGGTGAAAAATCAATTCTAAGTTCATTTCTGAACCCAATGACAATACTCAAGAAGAAGTAGAAAACGACTTGAGAGGTTTCGAACAATTTTCTCATCACTCGCACGTAGATAAAACCTGCGGTGGCCTCTCGATTGTATCCACGTGCTCGTGATGAGAAAATTAATCTCACGACAAACCCTAAAAATACAGTGTGATAATCTATAATTATGACGTTGTTGTTCGAGCTACAGGTAAATATACGGGTAAACCTATCTTTGAAACAACGTTACAGATATCTAACACTTGGTCTAACCTGTACCCTATTATCACAGGTGATTTAGATACAGTGAAAGTAAAACAATAGGATCAGGTAGGAACAAAGCAAAGACCAAGTACGCTTTGAACATTGTCCTGTTTCTAGCCGTCTCGATTGACTGCACCTCTGGTGACATTATGTTTTTAACTAAAGCGTACACACTGCACATGCTATTGTTACACCTGTCGGCTAGTCGATCGCCTCATTGTCTCAGATTGCTTACGGCAAATCTTATCTATAATGTGGTGGGCAGAGGTCCTTTCGGCTTATGACATGCGATGATACGGCCGCCTAATATGGCTATAATTATAAAAGGAATATATATGCAATTTCTTTGAAAATATATCAATGAATGATCAGTGTAAGTTTCAACAAATGGTATTACATCTGAAATATATTGAGGAAATGGCGTTCTGTTCATTATATCAAAATTAATCACCAGCTATATTTTCTGAGTACGGAGATACCCTGAACTCTTTTTGAAATCAATGTTATAAGAAAAGTAATCTGCTACAAATGTATGGTAGAAATATTAATGTATGATTTGCGATTATGTTGCGGGAATCTTACATGAATAGATCAGTTATTTCCATTCAATATTTCATACTTCTAGTTAACTTATGTGGTGACAATATTAACTAATGCTACGGATGTAGATTGGAACTGTACATTCTCTTACTTACAGGTATGTATCCGAAACAATCATAGAATCGATTTTATATCTTATTAATATTTCAGCATATATATTGTATAACAACATGTCACATCAGACTCATTGTATAGTGTAACACAACACAAGTGACAAGGGTTGATGGTTGTTTAAAAGTTTATTCTGGTAACCATTAGTATTTGGATCGGTCTCTATCGTTTGGTCTCGCTCTCAGTCGTCTCCGAGCTGTCTCTTGCTGTACTAGCTCTAGCCCATCTCTAGCCGTCCCTGGCCCTTCTGGCCTTTTCTCTAGCCGTCCCTAGCCCTTCTGGCCTCTTCTCTAACCGTCCCTAGCCTTTCTAACCCCTTCTTTAGCCATCCCTTGCTCTTCTCTCTAGGTTATATTTATACTCGATTATAATCTATTGGTACGTGCATAGATGGTCAGTTGAGACTTTAAGATCATATCTATGTAATCCTTGATTCACCAGCTATTCCCGATATACGTAATCAATTACACGTCGTAACACTGACTGTGTCACAATAGCCCTGAAGCGTTACACTTAATTCGGTCGACACATTTTGCCTGTCAGTACTTTTATGGCTTTACCTGTCATTAATATAATATATATGACAGATATATATATATAACCACAGTAATGCACGCTCAGTTTTGCTTCGAGTCCTGTAGTGTATGTTCAAACGCTACGTGCAGATTATCAGGAGCTCGTTCTGGTCTGTTATCATGTAATAGAGGTAGGCATTTTTTTGAATTTTTTATATTAATGTTATTACTAAATAAAAAATTATTTAAAGCTTTCATGAACAGAAGTGATAATTGTGTTTTTACTTGGAATGAATTGTAATAATTATTTTAATATCATATGTTTACTTAAATATGTATGTTGAGAAGTTGTCAATTATTATAAAAAAGATATTAATGTTATGGATATGTGCTACATAAAGATAATATGCGTATTCCTTTTCTAAACCATTCTATTGTAGTTTCATACTGTTTAATGTATAGATTGTATTATTACGGGGAAACTATTGAACTGCCTGTACGTTTGAACTGTTATAGCGTTACAAAGGATCTATGATCAGAATGGTCAACTCATTAGTATGACCATACCATGATGTCCGAGTTGTACATGTCTAAACATTTACCAATGAAATAGTGTTAAGCTGAAACAAGATGTACATTGCGGTTATTTTCAGTGATAGCTATTTAAGAAAGTTGCTTTTTGAAACTTACATCCGATATAACATTTCAAAAAGCTATTCCCTCCATTGATCAACTGTAGTCATTTGATGTAAATTAAGAATAGAAGATAAACCGCGACATATTCACGTCTTTGTGACGTCATCGGTATTATCACAAATATTTCAATGCAAATATACATTCAGACAATGTTGATATTACAATGGCGTTTTATGGCTTTGACATCTAATAAACTGTTAAATTAACGTGAATAACGGTGGATGCTAAAGAAAGACAAATTAGCACTCTTCATATAATTTCTCATCTAAGTTTCCTTTTCTTCACCTTTCAGATGAGGCAAGTAGCAGGTCTTCGATCTCTGACATGATTGATGGTTAAGGGGGAAATATGTATAGGAGCTAAGAAAAAGACACAATTCAGTAGCAGAGAAGATCTACAAACCAAAATAGGAATGAAAAAACAACCTCTAAAAAGTGATCCAGTGTGTAAGGATATTTTCTGATTAAACAAAACAAAGTCCTGTAGTAAGGAATTTAATCCATCATCTTACCTACGAACACATATCAGGACACATACATGAGAGGAACCATATCAAATATATCAGATCACTTACAGAAATATGTTCATACGTATATGAAAGATATGAAAGAGATGCCTTACACGTGCAATATCTGTAATAAGGGCTTTAGTCACTTATCTAGCCGACGAGAACATACCAGGACACATACAGGAGAGAAACCTTACCAGTGTGATGTCTGTAGTAAGGCATTTAGCCAGGGGGCTAACCTGCGAAAACATATTTTGACACATACAGGAGAGAAACCATACAAGTGTGATGTTTGTAGTAAAAGATTTATCACGTTAACGCACGTAAAAAGACATATAAAGACACATGCCGAAGAAAATCCCTACAAGTGTGATGTCTGTGGTAAGTCATTTAGAGAATCTCATGCCCTAAGACAACATACCAGGACACATACAGGAGAGAAACCTTACCAGTGTGAAATCTGTAGTAAGGCATTTAATCGATCATCTAACCTACAAAGACATATCAGGATACATACAGGAGAGAACCCTTACCAGTGTGATGTCTGTAGTAAGGAATTTAGCCGGGGGGCTAACCTGCGAAAACATATTTTGACACATACAGGAGAGAAACCCTACACGTGTGATTTTTGTAGTAAAAGATTTATCACGTTAAAGCACTTAAAAACACACATCAAGACACATGCCGAAGAAAAACCTTACAAGTGTGATATCTGTAGTAAGAAATTTAGTCGATCATCTAACCTACAAACACATAACAGGACACATACAGGAGAGAAACCTTACCAGTGTGATATATGTAGTAAGGCATTTAGCCGGGGGGCTAACCTGCGAAAACATATTTTGACACATACAGGAGAGAAACCATACAAGTGTGATGTTTGTTGTAAAAGATTTATCACGTTTACGCACTTAAAAAGACATATAAAGACACATGCCGAAGAAAAACCTTACAAGTGTGATATCTGTAGTAAAACATTTAATACGGTAGCTAGCCTGCAAAGACATCTTAAGACGCATGCTGGGGAAAAGTCTTACACGTGTAATACCAGTTGTAAGAAATTTAGTAAATCCTCTAGCCTACGAACACATATAAGAAAGCATGCAAGAAACAAACTTTACATGAGTGATGTAGACAATAGTATGGTTAGTGTTAACAGTAGCCTACAGGGACACTTCAACACACACGCAAGGCAGGATGTTGAAAGCAGCGATACATCTGAGACAACGTTCGAATGTTATCAGCAACAAAGCCAGTTCAAATCAAAAACTGGAGAACAGTATTTAAACCATAGCGTACGTGACAACTTGGACGAGAGGCTAATTGAAACAGGTGCCACTACCGCTGTTAGTGAGATTACTAGTGTTAGTGGGACATCTGAAGACAGCATAGCTAGTGTCCGTGTGACTACTGGTGTTCGTTGGACTTCTGAAGACAGTAAAATCACTGGTGTTAATGAAACTATTGGTGCTAGTGTGACTACTGGTGTTATTATGACTACTGAAGACGGTAAAACAACAGGTTTTAGTAAGACAGCTTTGGAGGCTGATATAATATACCGTGGAATGAGGTTGTCAAAGACAGATGATTGTGCACAAGTATTTACGTACAGCGTGCAAAATATACTACAAGATTATTATAAGACATATCAAATTGTAAATGCATGCCCTTGATAAAAGCATTACACAAATGGCAGCTTGGTAAAACACTAAAATAACAACGCACATGTAATATAAATAGAATACATTATATTAGTGATGATCTTATAAGAAGATATCAGGAATGATAGAAAGCAATTATCTTTCATGGGGAATATGGTATCTGTGCAAAACTGTTATAGAATGGTGAATTAAACATGTCTGTATATGTTGTTTGTTTGTTGTAATACGGGATCCTCTTTGGAACGATCTTTTTCGTTTGATAATGGGAGATGTCTTTGTCAAAATATGTCAGCTTTCATCATTTTATAGATATCGTGATTTTATTCACTCTCCGGACTCAATAGAAAGTACGTTATCTCAATGTAAATACATGTATTTGAAGAGATCTAAGCTGTACTCTTAGATGGAAGTAGTATGCGAAAATACACATTAAATAAAGCGTTTAATTATGAGTGCAGGTATATATCACTCTGTCTTATTCAGGATAATTTGTGGTTTTAACAATAGTGCCTCTACATTAAGTATATGATATATCATTGTGTTTTGATACTGCGTGTTTACATATTAAGACGTTTCAATACATGTTTTTCATATCAATTACAATCTAATTAAAATTAAATCTTCACATCGCTCCCGTTTACTGATATGTCGCGTTGAAGATCTAACAACATCCCATAGAGGGTCACGTCAGATGTCAACATGAATGCATTTTCGTATTTATAACAAGCCAATCAAAACGCGACATAACTCTTTCTTTCAACCAATCAGAAAGCAGGACCTGTAGCATTTAATGCAGACACCTCGTAGCCCGAAATCCACTTTTTCGTCTGGTCCAGTGATAGTTTGAATATTGCGAAGCCTGTCATTGGTTAATTTTATTTTCAGGTTGTTAAACTTTTTAACGACAACATCACCAGAATCCACAAATTGTACAAACGTTGTCTTGTAGATAGACACGGCGTGGGTGTCATGGGCGCCGCCATTTTCGATGTTCATTTGACACCTCTCGGTCTTTTATCATAGCAAGTGTGTCCCGAAATCATTACATCATCACTTACAGAAATGCGTAAGCTCTCATCTGATTGGTTAATGCAAAGGTCGCATGAACATGACCCTCTACGGGATGTTGTTAGATCTTCAACGCGACATATCAGTAAACGGGAGCGATGTGAAGATATAATTTTAATTAGATTGTATCAATTGGTACATAATAATGTACGTTCAGGTTGCAAAATGGGAAAGCTGATGAATGAATAACTATCGTGATTAAGAAATAATACTATGTACTAAATATATTGATTTTCACTTTCATGGTGGGTTCAAATGTGGTTACAAGAATAAAAATCTGGATTCCAACAAAATATTTACTTATACACAGTTATCAAAATTGACTGTTCTTACAGGTAAATTTTACCTGTCGGAACCCAAGTACTTGGAAAACGTATTTTAAAATCATTTCTAAAACTGTACCAATAACATCACAACTTATCAATACTTAAGGCAAGATATTTTGATATCCTACAATTTTTTTTTTTAAATAAATCCTGTTGGTCCCCTATGGGTTGATCCCGCGGATATGTTGCTATAGTTTTGGTCCGTCTGTAAGTCTGTTCGTGCGTTATATCTGGTAAATGTTTATTCGTTATTAGACAAAACAACATTTGTAATTGGTAGGTTTATCTAAGGTTTGTACAAAGAACATACACATAAAGTATACCGGGAAACTTTTGACTTGTCAAATATTTGCCCTTCGTCGATTATAATTGATATTCATTAAGTGTGAGTGTAAATTTTGTTCTTTACATGTAATTGCTGTATAAAATATGCTGCCATTGTAAATACGCTCTCAGTAGGGACGCCGAATAAAGGCGAATATAGAACTGAAGCGAACATTTCCCGGTATGATGTACTTTATAGTTGTGACATCATCGGCTGTAATCAAACACACTCTACAAATGAAGGACTAAAGAACTTAATTAATTGTCAGTAAGGTCGTCATGTTGATAGGTTTGATAATATTCCTGAAAATAGTTACTAAGCTTGGAAATAATCCAGAATCATGATTCCAGTTCTTAAACAGATACCAGAAAATAATTGCTGAAGTTTAATCTTCGTCGTATTCGACCTCCATGGTGAGAGTGAATTGATCCCGACAACAAAAACCAGTACACAACAAACTGAATGTAGTCATTGCATAGCAGGAGCAAAACTGATGCAGGACGGATATGGATTTACTAGTAAAGGACGAACGTTTGACTGGACGAAAATGTCTCATTATACAGTAGCAATATTACATACGAGAATTTTGTGGATATCTGTTACTCCTTTTTCGAATCACTATAGCCATCTTTTGTATCAGTAAACATAAACAATTGATATTTCATAAACAAATTCAAGTACACATAAATATATCGATTTAATGTTTTTGGTGTATATGATTTTTTCACATTAATTGTCACATACATGTATCAGTTAATATCACATGCGATAACATGCCTGTATTTAGGGCATATGTATATATATATATATAATTAAACTTTCTTATGACGTTTCATCTTATACCATACACTGATAAAAGATAAATCATGAAGACATTATTACTTGAGCTACAGTTAAATATACAGGTAAACCTTTATTTTTAAAACAGCGTTACACATATCTAACACTTGGTATAACCTGTAAGTTATTATCACATGTGATTTGTAGACACGGTGACATGAAAACATGAAATCAAGTAGGAACATGTTAAAACAAAACCAAGTTAGTGTTGACCATTGTCCTGTTACTAGCCGTCTCGGTTGACTGCACTGAAATTTTACATTCATTTGTCATAGATGACAATAATGTAAGGCCGAACAAGAAGGCAGTATGTACGATTTTTGAATATGATAACCTCTGGCGACTTGTACATTAATTGTTAACTGAAGCTTAAATACTACACATGCTATTGTTGCACCTGTCGGCTAGTCGATTGCCTCATTGTCTCAGATTGCTTACGTAACGTGGGGGACAGAGGTCCTTTCGGCTTATGGCACGCGATAATACTTCCGCTTAATATGGCTAAAATTATGAAAGGAACTCATTTCTAATTTCTTTGAGAATTAATCAATAATCAATGTAAGTTCCTGGTTCCGATGTGAGTTCCAACAAATTGTATCTAAAAATATGGAGGAAATGGCGTTCTGTTCGTAATATCAAAATTGATCATTAACAATACTAACTAATACGGATGCAGATTGTAACTGTACCTTCTCTTACTTTCAGATATGTATTTGAAACAATTACAGAATGGATTTTTTTGGAGTTTATAATTATTTCAACATATGTATTGTATTTCAAAATATGTCACATTAGACTATGTTTTTAGCCCTGAAGCGTTGCACTTAATTCCGTGGACACATTTTGCCCATAGGTATTTTTGACAACGAGATGCCGGTTTTATCTGTAGTCAAGATACTATCAATGACATATACAGGTATATATATCCAATGGAAAACACATTCAGTTTTGCTTCGAGCCCTGTAGTTTATGGTCAAGCGCCTCGCCCAGATTATCAGGAGCTCATTCTGGACCGTTATCATTTAACAGAGTTAGGCATTGTTTCTGAATTTTATACATCAATGGTAGTACTTAATATTGAGGTTTTTTTAAGTCTTTAAATATATGCACTGTACTTATTATTGTGTCATAACTTTGAATTGATCATATTAATGATATCAATATCATATGCTTACTTGAAGCTACATGTTGAGAAGTTGTAAATTATTATGATACACAATGTGATTGTTATGGATATGTGCAGCATGGGTATAATATGCATATTCCTATTTCTTAATCAACTGAAACAAAAATGTATTTCATATATTTCAAAAAACAAACATTGTCGGCTTTAAGTTGAATGAGTTGAAATGAATACAAATATCTGATTATTTAAGGGAAATAACCTTGGCATACATCTTCAGTTTTAGTTTGTTTAATTTAATTAATAATAGATACAATTCATATTAAGTAATTGAATTATAAAGTAATTCTTATCGTTTTACTGTAGCTTCCTTACTTTTAGGTAGTACACTAATGTTTAATTTAATCAATTGCTAATTAGGTATCAGCACCGAATAATTAAAAAATCGTTTTACTTTAAATATATCACATTCGACATATCATGAGATTCACACGTTTTGGTATTTCTTTTTTGTGTCGAATTAAATTGAGTTCTTAAATAAGGCATATTCATATTTTAGTTATCAACCAGAAGTATAACAACAGAATAACGATAAGATGATAACGACATCGAAAGTTTCACCTCGCGTATATAAACAAAACCGCCTGAACTTTGTCAGTATAAGACACACATACTGACTGAGTTATAAGTCATTGTGTTTCACGCATTTGTCCTGATTATACTTAACCCATGGGGAGAAAAACACATGTACTGACGACACAGTATGTCTGCTACCTATCTAGGTATCACCACTGATTATACTGTATAACAGGACATGTTCGCCGCAATATATCTTTTATCACCCTCCTTAATTAGGGATACTTTCTAGTTACACCGCATATGTGTATGCTACATACAATATTTCGAGGGAGAAATCAACACTTGGCAAATACAGATTTCATCTATGAAGTCCGAATACACTTAGTTATACATTGGTGACAGAACACAGATTTTATGTTCTAGGGTTTAACACCCGAGCTTACGTACAGATAATCACAACATCCGACAAGTTTGAACTACGAGTATAATCGCTATGCTAATATGAAGCTGGTCGGTCAGTTACAATGTCACTTGTCTTTAGGCTTATAATAATGGAATATGTATACTTAACCGTATAAATCCAACACTTCTATAGCAGAGGAATAAAATTATTCGCATATGATCAAACATCTTTCATAATAATACAGCATTCAATATGATAATATAATTTGTATAGTACAGTTAAACCCCGCTTACTCGATTTCGTGGAGTCCAGATCAATAGTCCGGGGAATATATAGTATTTGACAAATCCGAATTTCGTCCAAGATCGTCAATTTGTTTTATCAGGTGGGGCAACAGACAGCACGCGCACTGCGAATATCGTGGAAAGTATATGATAGATGTCAAAGTTCAATAAAACATTCCAAATTAATAAGATATAAAAAAAACTGAAATTTTAAAACATATAGCCATCGGTATTAAGAAAGTAAAAATAAATAAATATATATATGTGTAACGTTTTGACATAGTTCGCCATGCTATATTCCGCTACGTTAATTTTACAAAATATTTAAACAAGATAAACTCTTAAATTATTTTAAAACGACGGAAATATTAATCCTTGTCAATATACAATTGATGAATAACGAAATTAACAATCGCAACGTATTCAAGTTTGAATATCTTTAAAGATAATCGGGAGCGCGCTACGTGATTTCCGCTTTATATTGCACATACCCAGTAAATAGAACATTCCGCTAAATCATCGATGTCAAAACATCGTATTGTAATAATAAATATGCAGATCAAATGACAACGCA